TCGTCGTACTACTACTACCTAACGTAACTTAACTAACTACGTACGTAGGTACGTAACGTTACTTACTTCCTCTACGTACTACGTAGTAGTTAGTTATATAGAGAGAGAGAGAGAGAGAGAGAGAGAGGGCTCATGATGCAATTCTAAGTTAATGCCAATCTCCATGAGCTGCTGCTGTTATGTATATGCCGGTTCTCAATTCTTGTTTTGAGGACCATTTCTGAATCTGTTACCATCATGACAGGCTATTGATTACATGAACGACAAAAGGAGCATCAGCTACATGATAGATCCCACTTTGAAGTCGTTCAAGAACAAGGAGCTCGATGTTATCTGTGAGGTTATACAAGAGTGCATACAACCTGACATTAAGCAAAGACCTACAATAAAGGAAATAACTGCAAAATTGAGAGAGGCCATTCCGATCTCACCTGATGCGGCTACCCCGAGACTCTCCCCTCTTTGGTGGGCCGAACTTGAGATCCTCTCAGTGGAAGCCAGCTAGCCACATCTAGCATTGTGTTCCTCTCTCTCCTCCTCTCTCTCTCTCTCTCTCTATTTCTCCCCCCTTTGTAAGTGCCTCTGTATCTTTTATATGACCATGCTGTATAGTCTTTCTTTGCTTTTCCTTTTCCCTTGTGATATTTTCAACCTGCTGTTATGTTTTACAATGGCCCGAGCTTTCTCTCTTGTAACCACCATCCACAATTCTTTTCATTCTTTCCCTATTTCTTTCTATTTTTTTGCCCCCAATATATCCCAATAAAGTGTGACCTATGTTGTCAACTAATACATGTGTATCTACATACTGTAACGTAAGATGGCGAAATTGGTTTCAGTCTTTTGTGTATTAACGTACAAGTTTGTGCAATATGCAAAATACTAGATACTTTTTCCTTAGGCTGTTGCAAAGTGTAAATTATTTTGGATCCTTTTGAGTTATTGCATTTCTTTTCCTTGATTCAAATCAACCGTGGGTTGGAACCCGTTTCTCTTTCCTTTTGATATATTGCCATGTAGACCATGAAGAAAAGATTTAAGGAATCCCTTCATATGTGGTGGCCTGCATTGCCGACGAAACATTGCAGGCTTTCACCTTGTTTACTTTATTTTAGTGGTTGCTCCTTTGTTGCATCAGAAGGCACAGCATGAGATACTGCTCCACCGGTTTGTTGCCCAAGTGGAACTTTAAGATTTTCTTGTTAAGCTGAGAATCCTTGTTTGCTTTCTTAAAAATACCTTTGCAGCTCACATCAACAGAAATGAAGGCAAAAAAAGGGAGGGGAGAACTCGGATTTTGAAGTGTCGCAGACTTAGTTAACCAAAACCATATGTCAGCTTGCATACTAAACTTGAAGTTGGACACAAGTCCATTATGGCAAAAGTACAAGAAGGATTCTATCAGATTTGGATTTGCAGCACTTCTTAACTCCTGGTTGTCTTTGCATGGGCTATCTGCCTTAACATCACAATTACCATTGTATGATTTTGTTGACCCCTTTGAAAGTTTTGTTCAACTTCTTGTTTCGCAGTCTCCATTTCTCGTCTCTCTCCCTCATTCTCTTCCCTTTGGTATTTGGGTTTTTTGAGATTCTTTTTTACCTGTTGGGATAAAGCATGACGATGATGATCTTCTTTTTTGACCCTTCCCTTCTCATTTTTGTCTGAGGATTCATTTTGGAAGGAAGTTTAAGCTCAAACTATAGAGGAAGGGATGGCATTGCTTAGGTTTGTATATTGAGATCTTTAGCCCTCCCTGTCAATCTCTTGGGATCAAAACGGAAACCGCCAACGAATAGAAAATTTCCTTAGTTGCAGGCTGAATGGGCTCGGGTTTTTGGTGAAGCTGGACTACCTATGGAAGTCACTATTTGAAAGTTTATATTTAGATTACAGTTTTAGAAGGTTCGTTTCAATAATTTGGTAGAGTAATATATTTGATGGTTTGACATAAATAAGGTAGAGGTTATAGTTACATTTATAGGATTAGGATATCTGAAATAAGCTTTGAAAAAGCTAAAGATAAAAAAGACTTTAAGACCATATGTTATCCAGATAGAAGTTTGGAAGTGTACGGAAGAGATTGGTATATGCTGACTTATCAAGCTGTTCAACAAGTTGTCGAGAACAAAGAAAATACCAGATAAATGGAGAAAAATTACTGTGATTTTATTTATAAGTACAAATGAGACAGAATTGTACGAACTATTGATGGGTTAAACTTATGAACTGTATTATGAAGCCGTGGAAAAGAGTAGTTGAGCAACAACTAAGGTGTGAAATAAGTGTATTAGAAGTCTGTTCGGTTATATGTTAGGGTCTGTAAATAAGGTGGAACAATATTCACCTCTCCTATCTGTTTGAAGAATTTTAATATGTCTACAGAGCTGATTTTCTATCTGAGCTTCATATCTTTAAATGTTTTTAATGTATATAATTTTTTATTAATTAGGTATACATATCCATAACGTGAATAATCATCTATAACTGTTATGAAATATTCCATACTTTTTTGTGTTTTTACATTTAATGGGCCACGTATATCAGAGTGAACAGTACTAAGTAGTTCACTAGATCTTTTCCCTTTAGAAAAATGCTTTTTAGTTAATTTACCAGAAACACATGGCTTGCATGTTTTGAACACAATTTCTCCTAAATTAGGGAGCAGACCTTTTTTGACCATATGATTCATTTTATCTTTATTGATATGTCATAATCTTAAGTGTCATAAATATGAATCATCTACACACACAAAAGCAGCACAAAAGAATCAAAATAACTAGAAAGAGATGAATTTTCATTAATATTCAATCGGTACAAATTGCCAACTTCAGTACCATACGTCAAAGCTCTATAATGCTTCCCAATGGTGACCCGATCAGAACTAAATCTTATTTTGTAACCCTTATCATCTAGCCTAGGAACAAAAATCAAATTGTGCCTCATATTGGGCCCATATAAAGTATAAGTCCAGTAGATTCGTTTCTCCTGGTAAACACAAATTGAAAGTACCGACACCAAGTACATCATAATAGGTATCATTTCCCATATAAATCCACTGGTTACTGACTGCAATCTCATTCAACTCTATGAATTCGTCTTTGGTCCTCGAGACATATCGAGTGGAGGCTGAGTCGACCCACCAATTTCTCAAGTCATGGCCGGCAACTATTGATTCTAGGACTACACAGATCAAGTATTTTATTTTATTTTGATTATTTTAGGTATTGTTGTTATTCTAGTTCTTATTTTTGTTTTCAGCTTGGGACAGTTGAACTTGATGTGTCTAATTTTCTTACAATAAAAACAGGTCTTCTCAACCTTATTCTTTTGGTTTTTAAAAATTCTCCCATTGCCCTTATTCCTATTATTGTTCTAATTATTATAAGGTTTATTGGGAATCTGAGAAGGTGAACTTTGGGCAAAGTGGAACTTATTTGACTTCTTTCTCATTCTTCTCTCAGCTTGAAAATTGAGGTGCATGGGAAGATTTATCCATTATGCAGAGTGGTTCAATACAATTACAACAGGATCTCAAGATGGAGGAAGACTGTTAAGGAAAATAGACACTTACATGTGGTCAAGGACTGGATTTCCGGTTGCAGCAAGGTCCTTTGCGAGCACTGTCATTTTATTGACATGCTTGGTCACTGAGTCCGATTATTTCATTCTGCAATAATTATATTTTTTTAATAACAACTGTACATGGGTCTAAGAAGTGGTCTCATGCTTTTCAGATGGGGCACCCTTCATACTTTGAGCTGTGGTGTGATCCTTAAAGACTTTAATTAAATCATCTACCATAAAATTCAACGTAGTAGTCCTAACTACTTTGTCATCTTCTAACCATTTTTCAACTCGCCTTCTAGCTTGACCAATGGCATTAGGCTCTAAAATTGGTGGTTCTGTATTTAAAACATAGTCCACCCTATCTTGGAACAAAATATATCAAATTTTTCTTTTCCTCATAGAAAAATTGGTTCCATTGAGTTTTCAAGTTTTGATAGTTTTGACATAACTAGCCTAGATGCCATTTTAAGTTTTAGATAATACATAAAGGTTCAAACAATTCAATTGTGTTTAAGAATAGGGTTGTCTGATAGTCAAATCAATAGGTTGCCGACTCTCAGTAGGCTGCAACTTCAAAGAAGAATTTTCTTGAACAGTTGATGTTTGCATTGCTATGATGCAGTAAACTAAAAAAGTAAGGCAACAAAACTATTTTATGCAATTCTTGCATAAGAATAATTTTCATAAATATGTGAATATGTTTTACCACAAGAGAGAGAATCTACAATGATATTTGATATTCTCAACAAAAAATATGGCATAACATAATCACAAAAATTGAGTTCACTAAATCAAGATCATGAAATTTTCTCACTTAAAGAGATCAAAGCATAAGATAATTATGTAAGGCAATGACAATTACGATGCAAATAAAATATATAGAAAATCCCTAAATTATAAGCCACAAAAAATGTATGCGATTGATATGTCGTCTTTTACTCAAATAGTTGTTGTGTGCATAACAAATTTCAATAATCCAATAAAAATATGCACTAATTTTTAGCAACAAAAGATGGAAGAAAGAAGATGCAAGCCGACTGATTTTTAACAGTCCATGGTCAATAAAGAGTATATAACAATAAGGAAATTTATATTCTCACTATTAAAAAAAAACAAGCATGGTTAGTCAACTACCGCAGACAGAGTAGAAGAATTTTGGGCAGTCTTTACATAGTTTTTTTTTTTTCCGACAACAGTTATGTGTCTCTTTATTTCTCTCTCTAAAATTTAAGCGCCATCTTTCTCTCTCTAGACTTACAACAACAAATTTTTTATTATTATTGTTAAGCTACACCACTTGTGGTGTAGACCCTTAAAGTGCTAAATACTTTTAGACATTTAGATACCCTTATGGTATAATATAATAACTTTTTGTTTAGGGGTATTTTAAGTAATTAGTCAAGTATAAACTAGAAATTCTTAATAAAAACAAAAACATTTATTAACAATAGTTGACAATGCTATCACTGATATGGTGTGTGACATCATATATATTAATTGTTTTTAACTATTAATATAATGTCACTATTTTCTTATAAAATATCCATTTTACCCTTCTAAATGACCAAAAAAACACCTACTTGAAAAATTTTGTATTACAATTCAAGAGTATTTTAGTGTCAAAAAATATTAAGCACTTTAAGGATCTACACCACAAGTGGTGTAAACTAACAAAACCCTATTATTATTATTTTAATTATAACAGTAAAAAATTAGAGAGAGAATTACCACTTCACTTTGATAATCTTGTGAGCTGGAGAAAAAACCAGAACTACAAAACCAAAATAAAAAGAGTGTAAATATCTCGGGGTTTCATAATAACGTATCTCGTTGAACTTTGGTTTTCAGATGGAGGTATTGGTAAAAAAACTAGAGCGTGGTTATTCAAAATCAAACAACGAAGTTCACTGAAATTTCAGTGAATTTCACTGATATTCAATGAATTGGAGAGAAAGAGTACCTAATGAAGCCAAGACAAAAAAAAAAGCAGTATAAAATATAGTTTCAACAACTGAACCCAAAAAAATGGGGAAATATGAATTTTTTTAAAAGTTTTTTTTATTTAGAGAGAAGATATTTTATTTTTATTTAGAGAGAAGATAATAGAGTTTTGGATTGGTTCAAAGTTTTTCTTTCTCCTTTCAATACTGATGATTTCGATGAAAGGAAATTATGTATAAATCCAATGCATAATAAAGAAACTACAAAAAAAGAAAAGATAAGCACAAAATATCTTAAAGAGAGAATAGGGTTTCTTTGAAAAGCCTTAAATTTGCTAGGAGGGTTATGAGTTCACTTAATTTGGGTTTAAAAAGTCAACATATAAAAGGATCATGAAAGATAAAAAGGAAAATGATTTAAAAATTTCAGACTATTAAATTTAAGGTTAGAAAAATT